ATAATTCTAGTTCTTTCCTCCCATCCCTTGTATCATTGCTGTCATTCAATTCACTTATATATAAGCTTACAAAAACATATATATATATATACATATATATATATATGATATATAGGTCTGAATTTCTGATCTATTTTATTTTCCTTCTCTCTAAAAGACTTCTTTTTTTAAAGATTTTATTTATTTATTTGAGAGAGAGAGAGAGAACAAGCAGGGAGAACAGCAGAGGGAGAGGGAAAAGCAGACTCCCTGCTGAGCAGGGAGTCCAATGTGGGGCTCAATCCCAGGATGAGATCATGACCTGAGCCAAAGGCAGACACTTAACCGACTGAGCCACTCAGGCACCCCTCAGAAAAACTTTTAACATTTCTTGTAAGTCATGTCTCCTGGCAACAGATTCTCTCAATTTTTGTTTGTTTGAGAAAGTCTATTTCTCCTTCATTTTTGAAGGATAATTGCACAGGGCACAGAATTCTAGGCTGGTGGTTTTCTTTTCTCAACACCATATTTCATTCCACTCTCTTCTTCCTTGGTTTCTGAAGAGAAGTTGGATGTAATTTTTTTCTCTTCTATAAATGAGGTGTTTTTTATTTCTCTAAGGATTTTTTTCTTTATCTTTGATGTTCTATAGTTTGAATATGATATGCCTAGATATATTTTTTTTCTTTGGCATTTTCCTGGTTGGTGTTCCCTGAGTTTCTTAAATCTGTGGTTTGGTATCTGACATTAATTTGGAGGAAATTCTCAGTCATTATTCTTCCAAATATTTCTTCTTTTCCTTGCTTTCTTCTCCTGTTATTCTTATGCACTTGTTATACTTTTTGTAGTTGTCCCACAGTTCTCGGATATACTGTTCTGTGTTTTTTGTTTTTGTTTTTGTTTTCTTTTTTTCAGGTTTTGTTCTCATTGCTTTTTTAATTTTGGAGATTTCTATTGTGATATCCTCAAGCTCAGAGATTCTTTCTTCAGTTGCGTCCTTTCTACTAATAAGTCCATCAAAGGCATTCTTCATTTCTGTTACAGTTTTCGATTTCCAGCCTTTCTTTTTGTTTCTCTTCTTGGGATTTCCCTCTCTCTTCTTACATTGTTCATCTGTTCTTGCTTGCTGTCAACTTCATCCATTAGAGACCTTAGCATATTAATCATAGTTATTTGGAATTCCTAGTCTGATAAGTCCAACATCCCTGCCATGTCTGGTTCTGATGCTTGCTCTGTGTTTTCAAATTGTGTTTTTTGCCTTTTAGTATGTCTTGTCAATTTTTCATGATAGCTGTACATGATGAAATGGGGAATAGGAACTGTTGTGAATAGGCCGTTAGTGATCTGGTGGTGTGGGGGAAGGGAAATGTTCTATTGTCTTACGATTAGACCTCAGTCTTTTAGTGAGCTTATGCCTCTGGACTGTGAACTTCACAAATGCTTCTCCCACCCCCTTAGGTGGAACAGACAGGATGGCTAGAGCCAACTGGCATTGGATATTTCCCTCCCCCAGTCAATTAGCTCTGAAACAACCTTAAATTAGGATCTGGTTAAATAGCTTGTCCTGAGGGCAGACATTTTATGAAGAACAGAGTACTCTGCTTTATTTCAAAAATGGTTCATTTTCCTCTCACCATGACAGTAGTATGAAGGAGATTTTTCTCCATATTTACCGTGAGGACCTGGTCAAGCTCTTTCAGGTAAAACTGGCAAAAGTTTGGGAGACCCCTCTAGGACTTGTTTCCCCTGGAGACTTTAACTCTCAGATGTGTCTACTCTGAAATTCTACCAGTTTGTCAATTGCAGTGCAGGTTTTCCTGCTCCAGCACTGGCTCCGTGGAGGTTTTAGCACATGTGTTTCTGCTCTGGTGAGTTGTGATTCTCTGTGTTCTTCTGTCATTCTCTCTGGTTTCACAGGCACTAGCTTTCCCTGTGATTTTTACTTATTAGGAAGGCATGCGACCTGCAAGCTCCTTCCATGTATAACTAGAAACTGAAAGCTATGTGTTATATTTTATTATCTAATTTGTGTTAATGCAATATGATGGATAGGTAAAACAAGTAGTTGTGAAAAGCATAATAAATGAAACACAGTGTGCCTTTCTTAAATGTGTTTTTAAATATGTATTGATCTCTAATATCAGTTTCTGGGAAGTGTTAAATAATCACATATAAATATTCAGAACCCTTAATTTTTTCATATAATGATAACGTTTTTCTATGTACTTTCCAAAAGAACACTATTCTTATTGTTATACTTAGCCGGCTACTAGCCTATAATTGTATATTATTTAATAGGGGATAGAAAATATTGACCACTTTATAAGAGGAACTAATATATCATTAGAATAAGTATTTTATAGTCTAATTTGATAAACTATACTTTAATAACCTCACTAAATGCACATGAATCTAAAAGAAATCATAAAATTTTTATTTGTGAATGTACTTCCCATTATAACTAAAAAAAATTGAATAGTCTTAGAAGATATTCTTAAAAGCCTCAGCATCACCAAACTTTACTACTTGGCAAAAAAGTGCTTTCCTTTTATGAATATTATGAATATCCCAAAAAGTTTCTCATTTTATAAGAGCAATTTTTATAGCTTTTACTGTTTCTTAACAATGCTCTCTTCATTTTGTTCTCCTTAGTTTCTCTCACAGGGAGCAATTTATTTTTTGAAAAGAGTCTGGGAAAGGCAAGAGGTGGTGACTGCCCACTCTGTAATATATGTAATTTTGGAATATTCTTTTTTTTTTTTTAAAGATTTTGTTTATTTATTTGACAGAGAGAGACATAGCAAGAGCAGGAACACAAGCAGGGGGAGTGGGAGAGGGAGAAGCAGGCTCTCCGCAGAGCAGGGAGCCTGATGTGGGACTCGATCCCAGGACCCTGGGATCATGACCTGAGCCGAAGGCAGACACTTAACGACTGAGCCACCCAGGCGCCCCATAATTTTGGAATATTCTTACAAGGGCCAACATACCACCATATTTCTAATGCCATGTACTTCATTGTTACCAGAAATTTGTGTAAGACACAGGAAGATAGGAAGACAGAATCTTGATTAATCAACCAAGGAGACTCTCCTGCATACACAACTAGTCTTTCACTGGTGTCCTAGATGTTTTTACACCCTAGAACAATGACATAGTTAGATTCAGGATGAATCATGAAGATGTCTTTCTTCTATAAAATGGGAGAAGACCAACTTTAAAAGGGAAAGGGGCGGGGAGGGAATCTCTCTGATGATATGAAAGAGTACCTGTGAAAATTGAGGATATGAAATGGATTCCCTTAAAATTATGCCCCAATATGAAGACTACATCTTATATCTATCCTGTTCTAATCCCAGCTTTGTTACTGCCACAGAAATTTTGCTATCTTGACATGGTTAAGTATGATATTCTAACCCTGTTCTGTTTCCTGCTTTGTATATTTTAGCTCTATCTTTGAAAAAGAGGGAACAAAAGAGCTCGTTCCAGTCATATCTTTCCTCAACAGATAAAGCCCATGATCTTATATCCAGGGTCTCTAGCAACATGGCTACTCTTTCTAGTTGTGTCAACCCTGGCTCTTCAAGGGCACTCTCATAGCAACTGGAAATTGCAATATGACCAAATCAGTGTGCTAAGATAATAACTATGGATTGAGTACATCTTCTTTTTTAAGAAGTCCTAAAATACATGCACGTATTAGAAAATATAGTAAGAAAGAAGAGAAATATTGCCACCCAGAAACAACTGCTGTGAATATTTTGAAGCATATCTTTAGCTCTATGCTATCTACCTACCTATCTATCCATCATCTATCTACATCAATAAATCTATCTCTGAAATTATACAGCACAAACTGTTTTGAAGTTAAAGCTTTAACTCTCCAGCTCAAGTACATATTTTTTAATAAATGCACCTTTATAATATAATCTTTAATGGCTGCAGAATGTCCCACTGTATGATTGAATCACAATTTAATCAATCAATCCAGTATAGTTGGATATTTAAGTTGTTCTAATTTTTTTACAACTTCAAACACTGTGTGATTAACATCTTTGTAGCTAAATCTTCTCATATTCCCTTAGTTATTTCCTTGAAAATTATTCCTGGAAGAGAGAATTCTGTGTCAATATTTAAGTTTTCGATACATAATCTCCAGAAAGATCATATCAATGTACACTCCCACAAGCAACGTATGAGAATCTCCTTAGGAGATTATGCACTTCACTTGAGGAAAGTTAACAAACCTAGCTTTGGTAAGGAGTGTGTGTTAGAGCTAAGAGAGTATGTAAATTATATACTGATTCTTGTTCATGCAAATTATCTTTTTCAAGATGAAAAATTATAGAAACCTTTGGATTTCCTGCCTTGCTTAATCTCTTCATGGTGCCTGTATTTATAAGCTTTATAAATAGATCTTTAAAGATCTCCAGATTTGAGGCAAACCAGGCAAGATAATTATTCTGCCACATAGAGAAGCTTGTCTTGCTCTCAGCATCTAGATAGTTTGAAGCTTTGATTAGCTACCTAACCTGCAGGACCCTGAAGTTTGGCTTACTCTCATTTGAACTAAGTTTGTTAACTTGAATTTCAGGAAGCAGCAGAGTCAGAGTTAGAGGGACTAAATACTTACAAAATGTGGAGGAAAAACTGGTTTTCTATTCTTTATTTAAAATCATTACAGCATGAAAGCACCAGTGTTCCCAGTGAGTCCAATAAATAGTTATTGCTTTAAAAAATGTCTAGCATTGGGATGCCTGGGTGGCTCAGTTGGTTAAGCATCTGCCTTCAGCTCAGGTCATGATCCCAGGGTCCTGGGATCGAGCCCCACATCCGGCTCCTTGCTCAGTGGGGAGCCTGCTTCTCCCTCTGCCTGCCGCTCCCCCTGCTTGTGCTCTCTCTCTCTCTGACAAATAAATAAATAAAATCTTTAAAAAAAAAAGTCTAGCATTGATGATGATAGAAATGGCACATTGAGAGAGGTTGTGACATTTCTTTTCTTTAAAAGGAATGAATGAAGAATTGTCATTAATGCAGAGTTATTTTCTTCCACAGCTATAAGTATGACCAAAAGGAGGATTATGAAACACAAAATACGGATTGGTAAAAAGACTGTCTAAAGATAGAATAATACCAGACAAACATGTGTCATAGGAAAAAAAAAAATCAATCACTAGATTTGCATTTGGACTTGAGTTATTCATTTTTCCATCCATTTAACAAATATTTATTCAGGATTTACTATGTGCTAGAACTTCAGCTAGGTGCTTGAATATAATGATGAACAAAACTGACATGATCTTGTCCTCACAGGGCTTAGAATTAGGGAGAAAATGGACAATAAAAAGTAAATATGTTTTTAGCTCCAACACGTAATGAGCTTGGAAGACTTCACTCCCATCCTTACAACAAGAAAAAGCGAAACAACCTGAACATCCATGACTTTTCTTGGACTCATCAGAGAGCAGAGGTCACAGGGCTCAGTGTCATGCCGAAACCTGGAGAGATGGGTGAATCTGGAGAGCTGCTGTTGAAACCTGCTTACCAAATGCGGAAGTTAAACGGGCAGCAACATTTAAATGGTGATTTTGATAACCTTAACACTTATAAATCTTCAAGAAATCATCTAGGAGGTCAGTGGATCATAGGATAAACGCAAACTGTAACTGTATGACAAATGTATAAAACAACCTCACTGAAGGGATTGTGGGGGTGGGGGGGATGTTGACCTAAGGAGCACTGGAAATAAATGGAACCTGCAAGAGTCAAAGCAAAAAAGAGCCATACAAAAGTACAGCACTGTAGTTGACAAAGTTATATCTTACCAGGGTACGAATTAATAATTCTGATACCACTCTATGTATATACTGGAATCAAACAATTACGTAAATGGATGGCAGATGGTAGGGTCAAGGTTTCTCACTGTTGGAGTGGGAGATTATAGATAAGCAAGGGGAGGAAGCCAGAGATATGTACACGGTAATGGGTTAGCGCTAGAGACACCAGTATGAACTCTGTTTAGTTGAATATAGACACAGATGGCTATGTACATGTATCTGTACATGTGTGCATGCACATAGGCTAGTAAACACACGTATTCTCTTATTCTGTCAGTTACGAGGGCCCAGAAGTGACGATACCCAAATGGGAATAAGCACACCTAGCATCCAGATCTTGTTGTCTAATACCATTTGCCAATAAAAGGAAGTAGAGCTCTTAGGAGAAATGGCTGATTCTAGGACTGGGCAGGAAATACACATGATAAGCATCAAGCACCCTGTAGTGCATGAAAGAAGAAAGTGCCAAAAATAAACAAAAACAGAAACAGTCCCCTCCACCTCGCAAACACACAGGAAAATCATTGAACTATTTTAACCAAGGCACTGACGTCGTCTTTTTGAAAGATCTCTAGGTAAAGTATACAGTGTAGATTAAAGGAGGCAAGAATGCATGTGGGCTAGAACAGTTGGAAGGCAAATATAGGAGTCCAGGTGAGAGATGATGGTGAGCCAGACATGGGGAACAGGTAAGAGAGCAGAGGGAGTTAGAATTCCAGTTCTAAGGCTAACTAGCTCTGACTAGCAATTGGAACATGAGTAAGTCTTTGACCTTCCTGCCTCTTAATTTCCTCTCTTTGTTAAAGATGTGACAATCAGGGCAAAATCCAATGCATAGTTACCTCTTTAACAATATTTTTCTACAAATAAAGTTTGTAGATTTTCTACATTTGTAGAAAATTCTACAATTTCCTACAAATTCTAAAAAATAAATTTCTACAAATACACAATGTTTGAGTATTGTTTCAACAAATAGCATTGTTTATGTCATAAAAATTGAGAAGTAATTTTCCTGCTCACAAAAACATCATGTTCTATTTTGATCTTCACATTTTTTTATGATTTTTAAAAACATTTATTGTATTTCTTTTTTTTTTCTTTTAATTTTATTATGTTATGTTAGTCACCATACAATACATCATTAGTTTTTGATGTGGTGATCCACAATCCATTGGTTTTTGATCTTCACATTTAAAAAAAAAATTTTTAGTGCTAAGAATCAAAAACAATATGATCTTCAACAGGACCAATGAGGAAAGGTTAAATGAGTTGAAGTTATTTAGCTTATAGAAAAAGAAGAGGAAGTGATGCTTTGAGGACTATTTTCTAGGCCTTACTTCGTTTTGCTGTCCTGTAATTCTTTACTGTGGCCGGCAAAGGAACAGAGGCTTCTTTCCTTTTCCATCTCTCTGTCACGTTTTCATCATGTTCCAGAACCCTCACAGTAACCCTAGGAGCTTGGATAATTATCCCTGCTTTATCCATAACAGACACGTCTTTTCCTTCATTTCTTTCCCCAAACCTTGGAAGACGCATCTTTTTGGATGTGAAGGGAATACCAACTGGGGCCTCCAAACTGCTTGTAAATCTTTTTATGTGCAGCAGTTAAATGGTTTACAGTCACAGACTGAGGGGTTTGCAAAAGTAAAACTTTATTCCTAATTTCTGCTTGGTGGTGAAAAGCAGATTTTGGCCAAGCTAAGGAAATTCAGTCATTTCCACTTAGAGCTCAGTCGCTGTGCCCATCCTCCCTTTTCTTCCCCTTCTCTCCTTGGGTGGCATCCAGTGTTAGGGGTGGCTGATGTGGGGATTCCATGGTCGTCTCTGACCTTGCTCGCCTGTCCAGGGTGCCTGGCCCTAGGCAGTCCCATGGGGTCAGCGTCTGTTACTCAACCCACTGACACTTCCACCATATTCTCCAGTTTTCTGGGCACCAGGGTCTCAATTCACCTTTTGTCATCCATCATTTGGGACCTAAGAGCCGTCAGATGCTCTGCCCACTGGCTTTACATCTGAAGAAGACCTGGCCGGATGCCTCAGGCCCACCTTCTCTCTGCCTGTTCCATGCCCATTGCTCCTCCACTCTCTGGTGTTGTTTGGATGCAGGGCTTCCCCCAGGGGTTTGTGGTTTCTTTGGGCTAATGCCTGGGAAGAAAGGCCCTCGCCTCCGTGCCCCAGGATTCCTCCACACTGATCTGCCACCTGGGATTATAGCAGGGAGAGGGGGCGGGGCAGAGGCTCGGGCACTCCACACGCGCTTTTGCTTTTCTTTTTGAGTTCTTGCCGAATTCCCTCTTCCTCCACAGCCCGTAAGAGGTTTTGATCACCTGTCTGGGTGTTAACAAAGCTACTCTTGTGCCATGACGTGCTCTTCCCTGCTCTGTGTTTTGGGTTTTGTAGGCTTTGCTTTTATTTTTTATTTTTATTATTTTTTAAAGATTTTATTTGTTTGAGAGAGAGAGAGACAGTGCGAGAGCACGAGCTGGGGGAGGGACAGGGGAAAGGGAGAGGGAGAAGCAGGCTTCCTGAGGAGCCTGGGAAGCCGGATTGGATTCTAGTCCCAGGACCCTGGAATCATGACCTGAGCGGAAGGCAGAACCTTAACTGCCCAGGCGTCCCTAGGCTTTGCTTTTAATCAATAAAGCCAAGCTTTTAGAATTCCCCTAAGTCCATCAGAAGCTTCCCACAGAAAAGCCAAGCCACATACAAATTATTTTGTCCTTCAAATGCCTGGCTCTTGTAATGGAAAACCCACTGCTTTCAAGACTATTTTGAAACAAAAATCACAAAATTTGACACTTTTTTTTTCTTACTGGATTGCTTTATACTCTTTCTTCTAGGCAATAAACCTCAGCTTTCTGGTCTGTTTCTAAGTAATTTTGACATTGAAACATACCATACATACAGAAGAAAAAGGCTACAACTAATCTGCTTACTACAAAGTGAACACCAGTGAGGAGACCACCCAGAAAGAGAACATTGCCAACACCCCAGGAGCTCCTCAGCCCCCTCCCAGGGACTGTTCCACCTTCAAAGGTAACCACTGATCTAACTTCTAATACTATACATTAATTTTGCCTGTTTTTGGTATTTTATATAAATGAAATCATGGAAGATGCATTAATTGTGTCTGCCTTGTTTAGCTCAATATTACATTTGTGAGAGTTACTCCTGTTGTTGTGAATAGCAGAAGTTTGTTCATTTCCCTTGCTGTATATTCCATTTCATGAATATTCCACAATATACTTATTTACCCATTTCATTGTTGATAGACATTTAGGTTGTTTCCAGTTTGGGGCTATTGTACACAATACTTCTAAAATTACACTTGTAAATTTCATTTGGCACATACAGTATGCATTTCCATCAGGGAAATTCTTTCAAGTGACAATCTCCATCTTTTAATTGGAGTGTTCAGTGTAGATACACTCTTGGTATTTTAATAGCTTCCTATCTTGTCTTCCTGCCTTTCTCAAATGCCTTTTTCTACACTCTAGAACACTCTTTCTCAAATTCAAACCGGATCATTTCTATTCTTCAACCGTTTTTAATTGTGTTCTATTCCTCTTGGGAATGAATTGCAAGCTTTTTATAGGGGCCCCAGGGCCTTCCACGATTGGCTTCTGCTTGCTGCATTTTTCATTCTTTCACCCCTCCGAAGTGTGCTCTTTCACAAACTGTTTCTTCTGCTATTAACTCAGTTTTCTGTCACTCCTTGTGAATCTCCCTTTCCGCCCCTCACCATGATTTTATCTGGCTAACTCCTGCTTACCTCTTAGGTCACAGTTTGTCATTTAGGAGATGACACTGAAGGTGGAATTGTCAAATTCAGAGCATGTGGGCAATTGCAACACTCAAGTGAAACATGAAAATGTCTGACCCATCAACAAAGTTACCAAAAGTCTGTTTTTTCCATATTGGGATGTATATTAGAAAATGTGAGGTTGTAAACGAAGCTTGAATGAGATGTACGAAGGAACTATTTCAGTTATAGAGCATCTCCTTTACACACCACATATATCACAGAGCTTACACGGCATTCTCTAATGAGCTGTAAATTCCAAGTTTAGTTATCATAAGCAACCTAGGTAGACCACAGACAATTTCATAAAGAGGACTCCCCTTCTACCTCCCGAAAATATACCATTAGGTCTCATGTTTATGAAGGGATTTAACTGTGGCATCTCTTTCTAAGCATCCCCCAGAGGAAGAAAATAGAGTTCAGACTCATTGCTCATCCTTTCATTTCCAACTTCCTCAATGTAAACATTTCTGACCTCTAAACCTGGTTCAGGTGTCTCTGTTAGTATTTTCATAGTTTCACGTTTCTTCCCTCTGAGTGATTTTTGATGTTCTAGAACTTCTTGGTTGTTTCCTATAGCCCCTTAAGTCCTATAAACTCCATTAAGATGGGGATTATATATATATTTTATTTACCATTGTATGTGTGATGCACAGCACCATTCCTGGGGCATAGTAAGGACTCAACATTTGTGAATTGTTGAATTGCCCAAATCTATCTACTCCTTTAAAATAAGGTCATTTGTTTACTTAGTATGACATTGCTGGTTTTTCAGCTTGTTTGAATAAAGTTTATATATAGTTAACTTTGATGAATGATTCTAGCACGGCAGGAAGAAAAAGATTCATGGGTTTCTTGTATAAACCTTGTCATAATAATTAGATTTCATATTCTCATCGAATATAAGGCATAATATGTCTTTGACCTTTCCAGAGATCTTTGATTCCCAGACATATTTCCATTGACTTTCTTTATTTCATTGTCTTTTTTGGGGGTGGGGGTCATTTTCTCAGTCTTCTCCATTTCTGTCCTATTTTCCACCCACGTCTATTTGCACTTTACATTTCCTTTATGTCTTTCTTTAAAATCCATTCCCTTTCCTTAGTTTTTGTCACTTTGTGGAGAAGATTTTAAAAATTAGATTTCCCTGGCCTTTTTTTTTTTTTTTTAAATTTTAGGTAACATACAGTGCAATATTGGTTTCAGGAGTAGAATTCAGTGATTCATCACTTACATACAACACCTAGTGCTCATCATAACAAGTGCCTTCCTCAATACCCATCACCCATCTAGCCCATCCCCCTGGCATTTGAATTTCAGATTGAAATAGCCAGGTTCTTGTTTCTTTAACTGCTGGTTTAGATCTACCTTTGTTCCACATGGCTGACCTTCAGTTCATCCATGAAGTTGACAGATTAGATTATGAGAAGACTGATAAGACTGAAAAGATTATGGGCTCTGCTCTTTCTAAATTATGCCAAAACATCTCAATGAAAAGAGATCTATTCACTTATTTATCTGGATTCAAACCATACCTCACTCTAATACAATTCGTAATAATAATATTGAGTTTATGTGACAGATGACATTTTTCTGAAACTAAAGCACCATTCATGAACAGAAGATGGTTCTGATTGCTATTATAGGAGTTCTTTTGAATTTGACATGCTCATACTTTTCTTGTGCCATGGAATTATCCATTGTGCCAGTCCTTTTTCTCCTGCACGTTTCTCTATTCAAATTACTGCTAAGTCTATCCAAATAGCATTTATAATCTCATTTGGTCTTCACTAAGAACACATCATTTATGTGTTCCGTCCACCTCTGTTCTCATCCCATTAACCAGTCTTATTAGTGGCAACCGAACTTCTACTCTTGGTGTCAGCGTAATTATAATCATAAATGCAAATATGGGGACTCCTGGTTGGCTCAGTAGGTTAAGCGGCGTCTGCCTTCGGCTCAGGTCATGATCCTGGGGTTCTGGGATTGAGTCCCGCCCTCATTGGGCTCCTTGCTCAGCGGGGAGCCTGCTTCTCCCTCTGCTTGTGCTCTCTCTCTCTGTCTCAGTCTCTCTCTCTGACAAATAAATAAATAAAATCTTAAAAAAAATAGAAAATAAAAATAAATGCAAATATGGGCACTGAAATTATATGGCAATAGTCAGCTAGGAGGCAGTCATCCAGATGTTTAATTTTTTTCAGATACCTATTAAATAGATACACAAAATTTAAAAATTTTATGGAGAGCTCCTAGACCCTTGAGATTGTTTTTTGATCCCCAGAGATTGCATATAGTAGTTTGAGAAATCATAGGCCCCCCTTGAATTCTTAGACCAGTAACTCTCAAAGTTTGTCCCCAGAACAATTAGCTTCTGCATCACCTGAGAACTTGTCAGAAATGCAATTCATGGGCCTCTTCCTGAACTTACTGAATCAGCAGTTTTGGAAGTGGGGCCTAGAAATCTGTGTTTTAGCCTCTCAGGTGATTCTCATATACATGAAAGTTTGAGAAGCACTGTCTTAGCCTCTGAAGAAATGCCATTTGCCCAGGATAGAAAATGAAAGTAGGGTAATATTGCTGGGTGTGTTCTAAAATATGCATGTGGCTTGATGTATATGGCATTAATCATTTAAACAATAGTATGCAATCTCAACTACAGAGTGAGGTAGAGCTCTTACAAGTTTTAAGCACCATGAGGGCAGTAGTAAAACTAAAACAAGGCAATTCTAAGACTGGAAGATGGGGGACTTGAAGTATGAAGATCAAACTGAGCCAGGAAAGAGTGGGGGTCAGAAAGCCAAATACCACCAAGAACACACCTGTAGTTCATCAAGGTGGATTTATGACTTATGACATGATGGAAAGCACACTCCATGGGGATGTCGCAGTAAAAGGGTGTTGGGAAAACTTACAGGATTTGGGCTTGTGTTAAGTGATTTGGGGAGGGTTTAACGAAGGAGGATTTTGCTCTTACTTGGATGATGTCAGCAATCAGGGGTAATTCTATGATTTTGTATCTTAATAACTCTTATTTAGGAGAGGGAGTTTATGTCTCAAAGAAAAGAAGTGTTGCCTTTGTGTCAGCAGCAAATATTTTTCCTCTGGTCACTTGGAAAAGCAGCTTCATAGATGTTATATTGTGTTGGGTTTGTATGTGTGTGAGAGAGAGATAGAGAATAGAGGACTAAGCACTGTTCTTGACTCTGTTAGCTGTTCTTGTCCCATCTTTGATATTTCCGGCACTGGAACGGGTTTGATCAAGTACAAGAAGAGCTGCTCTTCTTGTCACAGTGAAGACTCCCTTCTGCTGTCTTCCTAGTGTAAGCTGACCAGTCAGCAGTGGAAGGACCAATCAGTTGAGTTCCAATGTACATTAAGAAAGCAACAGGACTGGGCGCCTGGGTGGCTCAGTTGGTTAAGCGACTGCCTTCGGCTCAGGTCATGATCCTGGAGTCCCAGGATCGAGTCCCGCATCAGGCTACCTGCTCAGCAGGGAGTCTGCTTCTCCCTCTCCCGCTCCCCCCTCTTGTGCTCTTTCTCTCTCTCACTCTCTCTCAAATGAATAAATAAAATCTTAAAAAAAAAAAAAAAAAAAAGAAAGCAACAGGACTTAAATCCTTTCTGTAATATTTTTCTTTCTCTCTTGTCTGCTAGATACTGTACTAGGAACCTGGTGGGGAAGAGATGGGTATGATTTGACCTCTGTCCTCAAGGAACTTATACTTTAGTGAGAAAAACAGGCTTATAAACAGATTACAGTGTGACAGGCACAAAAAGGGAATGTTGTATAATTATAGAAACAGCAGACAGGAAGAAGTTATTAATTCTCTTTTTAAAAATATTTATTTTAAAAAAGATTTTATTTATTTATTTGACAGAGAGAGAGACAGCGAGAGAGAGGGAACACAAGCAGGGGGAGTGGGAGAAGGAGAAGCGGGCTTCCCGTTGAGCAGGGAGCCCAATGTGGGGCTTGATCCCAGGGCCCTGGGATCATGACTTGAGCTGAAGGCAGACGCTTAACGACTGAGCCACCCAGGCACCACAGAAGTTATTAATTCTCTATATAGAAAAGCTTCAATATGAAGTTATTTCCAAACGGGGTTTTGAAGAATGAAGAAGAGTTGTCTAAACAAAGGGAAGATTCAGGGGCAGGAGGAAGGAGTTAAGATCAGGCTCCTGTTCATAAATAAAACCACAGACTGAGATCTTCTACTTCCAGCAGTATTGTGGACTT